AAGCAGGTCAACATTCAACCCCAGGTAATACAGAGAACACCACAAAGATATTCCTCAAGAAGAGCAACCCCAAGGCACATAATCGTTAGATTCACCAGGGTTGAAACGAAGGAGAGGATACTAAGGGCAGCCAGAGAGAAAGGTCGGATAACCCACAAAGGCAAGCCTATCAGACTTACAGCAGATCTCTCAGCAGAAACTCTACAGGCCAGAAGAGAGTGGGGGCCAATATTCAACATCCTCAAAGAACAGAACCTCCAGCCCAGAATTTCATATCCAGCCAAACTAAGCTTCACAACTGAAGGAAAAATAAAATCTTTTATGAACAAGCAAGAACTCAGAGATTTTATTACCACCAGACCTGCTTTACAAGAGCTTCTGAAAGAAGCATTACACACAGAAAGAAACAACCAGTATTAGCCTTTCTAAAAATACACCAAAAAGTAAAGAGCACCAACATAAAGAAGAATTTACACCAACAAATGGATAAAACAGCCAGTCAACATCAAATGGCAGTAACCCTAAATTTAAATTGACTAAATTCCCAATCAAAAGACACAGCCAAAACCCAACGGCATGTTACGTCCAGACCTGTTTCACATGCAAGGATACACAAAGACTCAAAACAAAGGGATGGAGAAAGATTTACCAACCAAATGGAGAGCAAAAATAAATAATAAATAAATAAAAAGCAGGAGTTGCAATTCTTGTATCGGATAAAATAGATTTTAAAGCAACAAAGATATAGTGGTAAAAGGATCAATGCAACAACAAGAGCTAACGATCCTAACACCCAGATAGGACACTTAGATTCAATGAGACAGAAAATTAATCAGGATATCAAGGACTCGAACTCAGATCCGGAACAAGTAAACTTAATAAATATTTATAGAGCCCTCCACTTCAAATACACAAAATATACATTCTTGTCAATACCACATCACACCTACCCATTAATTTAAATGAAACATTGATTGGCCATTATTAATACCCAATTTTTTTCAAAATAAAGCAATATTTCCATTTACTCTCCCTCTCTCTTCCTCTTTCTTCCTCTCCTTTACTTATTATTTTTTTTTCTTTCCTTCTCTCAAAAAAAAAGAAATCAACTTGTAAACCTCTAGATCCAGGTCGGCAATGTCTCTTTCATTGCTTGATTTCCTTTCTTCCCTTCCCTCCCTCCCTCCCTGCTTCCTCCCTTCCTTCCTTCATCCCTTCCTTCCTCCCTACCGTCCTTCTTCCCTTCCTTCCTGCCTTCCTCCCCCCCCCCAAAAAAAAAATACATGGCAGATATGAAGCACTCAAATACTAGCTACTATTATTATAAGACTTTGAAGGAATCTTAGGAATAATTGAAAGAGTAGTGTTGGGTGGTAGAGTAAGTGCTGATCCTGGGTTCTAGTAACAATGTTGTTAACTGTGGTACAAATCACTTGGCTTCAATTTCAGTTGCATGAAAGTAATAGGTTTAATTATTTTCATAATTCCTTTAAGCTTTTACATTTTCTGAGTTCACCTTTTGTGTTTTTCCTGGCATTTTACTATTCCTCTTTATAGCTTTTAGCTATTTTCTCAACAGGTCCATAACTAGAATTTGAAAGGAAGAAGTATCTGTCTTACATGGTCACTCTAAAAATGGGGTGGGAGGGAGAAAAGTTGGACTACCAGTTTGACGTTTGAAAGTGTTCCGGCTGGGCTCGGTGGCTCATGCCTGTAATCCCAGCACTTTGGTTGGCTGAGTTGAGCGAATCATTTGAGGTCAGGAGTTCGAGACCGGCCTGGCCAACATGGTGAAACCCTGTCTCTACTAAAAATACAAAATTTAGCCAGGTGGGGTGGCACATGCCTGTAGTCCCAGCTACTTGGGAGGCAAAAGTGAGACAATCACTTAAAGCCAGGAGGCAGAGGTTGCAGTGAGCCACGATCACACCACTGCACTCCAGCCTGGGTGACAAAGCGAGACTCCGTCTTGGAAAAAAAAAAAATGTCCCATCTGCTGATCTGTGCAACATATTAAATGGGAGTCAGCTCCTTTAGACCAGAATGCATTCCCCCTTCTTTCTCTACCTGTGCTTGGCATTGACATATAGTAAGACTCAGTTCATTCATTCAGAAAAAACTGAGTACTTGTATACCAGGCACCAGGAACACAAAATTGAATAAGAAATGATCTTTGGTTTCATGTTCAAATGAATGGATCCAGACCTTGCTCATTCTAGCTTCTTCCATGAATGATGTCCTTCAGATTACTCCATATTGATTCCTCTAATGTTGGGACCCAGTTAGCGTTAGAGTGATACTCTACAAAATTTAGATTTAGACTGTGTATTAGTCCATTTTCACACTGCTATAAAGAACTGCATGGACTGGATAATTATAAAGCAAAGAGGTTAAATTGACACAGTGCTGAATGGCTGGGGAGTCCTCAGGAAACTTACAACTCATGACTGAAGATGAAGGGGAAGGTCTTATGTGGTCGCAGTAAAGAGAGAGAGCAAGGGAAACTGCCACATTTAAACCATCAGATCTTGTGAGAACTTCCTCACTATAATGAGAACAGCCTGGGGGAAACCACCTTGATCCAATCACCTCCCACCAAGTCCCTCCTTCAACACCTAGGGGTTACAATTCAAGATGAAACTGCCATAATCCAATCACCTCCCACCAGGTCTCTTCCCCCAATACGTCAGGATTACAATTTAAGATAAAATTTGGGCTTGGTGGCTCATGCCTGTAATCCAAGCACTTTGGAGACCAAGGCAGGCAGATCACCTGAGGTTGGGAGTTCAAGACCAGACTGACCAACATGGTGAAACTCTGTCTTAAAAAAAATTTGGGTGAGGACACAGAGCCAAACCATATTAGATTGTGATTCCCCCCGCCCTTTTTTTTTTTTTTTTGGAGATGGAGTCTTGCTCTGTCATTAGGCTGCAGTGCAGTGCCACAGTCTCAGCTGACTACAGCCTCTGCCTCCTGGGTTCAAGCAATTCTCCTACCTCAGCCTCCTGAGTAGCTGGGACTACAGGCATGTGCCACCATGGTCAGCTAATTTCTTCTTTTTTTTTTTAAGTAGAGATGGGGTTTCACCATGTTGGCCATGGTAGTCTTGATCATTTGACCTTGTGATCCGCCTGCCTTGGCCTCCCAAAGTGCTGGGATTACAGGCGTGAGCCACCGCACCTGGCCTAGATTGGGAATTCTTTTTGTGGTATAGTGCTTAAGAATGCAGGCTCTTGGCTGGGTGCCGTGGCTCATGCCTGTAATATCAGCACTTTGGGAGGCCATGGTAGGAGGATTTCTTGAGCCCATGAGTTCAAGACCAGATTGAGCAACATAATGAGACCCTGTCTCTACCAAAAAAAAAAAAAAAAAAAATTAGCCAAGCTCATTGCTGTGTTTATGTCCCATCTATTTGGGAGGCTGAGGTGGGAGGATCGCTTGAGCCCAGGAGGTCAAGGCTTCAGGGAGCCATGATTGGATCACTGCACTTAGGCCTGGGCAAGAGAACAAGACCCTGCCTCAAAACCGAAAACAAAAACAGTGCAGGCTCTGGAGTCATTATTCTGTCTCTGTTCATATCCTACTATTTTTAATTAGCTTGCTTTGCTCTCAATTCCAGATTAAAGATAAATTAAAATTCCTTTAAATTATTTATTTATTTATTTTGAGACGGAGTTTTGCTCTTGTTACCCAGGCTGGAGTGCAATGGCGCGACCTCAGCTCACCGCAACCTCCGCCTCCTGGGTTCAGGCAATTCTCCTGCCTCAGCCTCCTGAGTAGCTGGGATTACAGGCACGCGCCATCATGCCCAGCTAATTTTTTGTATTTTTAATAGAGATGGGGTTTCACCATGTTGACCAGGATGGTCTCGATCTGTTGACCTCATGATCCACTCACCTCAGCCTCCCAGAGTGCTGGGATTACAGGCATGAGCCACCACGCCCGACCCCTACTTTAAATTCTTTAGGATTCTTGTCAGTTAGTACTCCTAAGTAACAAAAAATCTAAATCCAAACAATAACAAAAATCTTGACAAGGTCAGTAAGTGACACATTAAATGAAGTTCCAAAAAGTCTATAAACTGTCTGGCCAATTTAATATTGTTCTTTAAACTTTTCATTGCTTGAGGGATGTGAGGATAGGATGTGTAAGGTTTTCTTCCTAGTTGCATGTACACTTTAAAAACTTTTTTGAAACAATCATGTGCAGTGTACACATAACATTTTTCTGAATTATTTGAGTTAAATTGCTGACCCAATACCCCAACAGCCCTGAAAACTAGTTTTCTTACAAACAAGGACATTCTCCTCGTTTATTTTTATTTTTATTCTCCTCTATAATCAGTGTAATTACTAAAATTATGAAACTAACATTGCATTACTTCTTTGATCCTTGGGCCCCACCTTCTGATACTGGAGCTCTGACTATCCATTCTGGGATGCTCCAATGTGTGCCCTCATCACTCTGCTCTTCCCTGTATTGCATTCCTCTTTGTAGATTCCTTCCTAACCCAGCATAGACTCTGACCTCACTCTGGGCCACCATTTCTTCTGCTGTACCCTTTACTTCCATCACATACTTTCCTTGCTCTGCCCTTTGTTTTGGAAAGAGAGTGGCTAGTAATTGGTCCCTGTTGCTTCCTTACATAACACATTTGTTTAAAACATTCAAGCAAAATGCTTTGTTCTGCGTTTAGAACGATTGCAAGGCAACTCCAAATGGCGGACCTCAATCCTTGTTAATTTACTGGATCTTTTGAGTGTATGAATGTGACCCTGTCTGACTGTATCTATCTTAATGTTATATATTCTTTTTTTTTTTTCTTTCTGAGACAGAGTCTCTTGCCCAGGGTAGAGTGCAATGACACAATCTTGGCTCACTACAGCCTCCATCTCCTAGGTTCAAGCAATTCTTCTGCCTTAGCCTCCTGAGTAGCTGGGTTTACAGGTGCTTACTATAATGCCAAGCTGATTTATTTTATTTATTTATTTATTTTTTACATTTCACCTTTTTTATTGAATTTGTATTAAAGGAGGTAGTGAGGAAGAGGAAGCACTTAAGAGTCAGAATCCATATTAGACTCTGGGGAGTGAAAAATTAAATCAGTAAGATGGGGAGTGAGGGAGAGTCAGAGGGAGCCTTGCCCACCTTTCAAGATCAAATCAAGAAATCAGGGAAAGCAGACTCAGAAGAGGAGAAAGACATTCTCTCAGTCCATCCTCCTCCCCCAGGGCAGAGAATTACAATATTACTGAGTGAACCTCTGAGCAGAAGACTCTCCCATCCTATGTCGAGATGTCCCTATGCCGAGATGTCCCTATGCCGTTCTGCAGAATGGCCAGGGCCTTAGCCAACAGAAATAGAGGGGTCAGGGGGATCCAGGAGTAAGGAAGGGTCAGCAGTGACCCCCAATACTGATTCTCCTCTGGCTGGAGGTGGGCAGGAAGGAGTCATAGCTCAAATACTGAGCAGCCAAAAAAAGAAGAAGATGGCAAGAAACAGGAAGAGGGAATCCTGCCAGCTGGAGGCCGGGTGACCCTGTCCCAGATCCACACCTGTACCCCGGCGGAAAGGCTCATGGGTATTGAAGACAGTGGTGAAAAAGCCAAAGGGAAAAGCACCAACACCAAATGAGAAGTGGAAGCCCCCGGTATCACCAAATGGCTGGAATCCCCCTCTGCTCTCTGGAGCTGGTCTCTGGCCCTGGGGACGGGGTGGAGTTTTTAATCTGGGATCCTGGGGCTTCTGGCTCCCTCGCCCATAAAGCGGGACAACCTTCTCTCTGCTGATCCCAGCTTTACACACTGGACACTCTTGCCGCTCTGGACGTGTCTCCAGCCACTGATGAAGACATGGCCAACAGTACAGGTGACCACACACACTGACCACTGCTTCCCAGGCAGTCTCCAAACATATATTACATTCGAAGGTCGCGCCAGCCCCGCCCCGCTCGCGATTTGGCCCTTCGGGGCCCCCGTCCTCCTCCTCTGCTGCTGCCATTACAGGTTTTGTTTCCAATTTTTTTATTTTTAATAGAGATGGGTTTTCACCTTGTTGCCCAGGCTGTTCTCGAACTTTTGGGCTCAAGCGATCCACCTGCTTTGGCCTCCCAAAGTGCTGGTGTTACAGGTGTGAGCCACCATGCCTGGCTCAATTCTTTGTTTATTTATTTTTATTTATATTTATTTATTTATTTATTTAGATACTAAGTTTCACTCTTGTCTCCCAGGCTGGAGTGCAATGGCATGATCCCTGCTTACTGCAACCTCTGCCTCCTGGTTCAAGTGATTTTCCTGCGTCACCCTTCCGAGTAGCTGAGATTACAGGTGCCTGCTACCACAGCTGGCTAATTTTTGTATTTTTAGTAGAGATGGGGTTTTGCCATGTTGGCCAGGCTGGTCTTAAACTCCTGACCTCAGGTGATCCGCCCGCCTTGGCCTCCCAAAGTGTGGGGATTACAGGTGTGAGCCACCACGCCTGGACTTAAATACTCTTTTTTTTTTTTTGAGATGTAGTGTTGCTTTTGTTGCCCAGGCTGGAGTGTAATGGCGCAATCTGGGCTTACCACAACTTCTACTTCCCAGGTTCAAGCAATTCTCCTGCCTCAGCCTCCCGAGTAGCTGGGATTACAGGCATGTGCCACACCCAGCTATTTTTTTGTATTTTTAGTGTAGATGGGGTTTCTCCATGTTGGTCAGGCTGGATTTGAACTCATTACCGCAAATGATCCACCTGACTTGGCCTCCCAAAGTACTGGGATTACAGGCGTGAGCTGCCACGCCTAGCCCTATATGCTCTTTAAAAGTAGGAGAACACTTTTTTTCCAAGTGAAATCTTAGAATTTTAGTATGTAAACTGGATCAAAGCAGAATACATTGTTACAGTAGGCTCCCTTCCAGTGATTCTTACCCACTCCCCTTTGTCACTGTGGCCCACAATAATATGGCTGGGAGAATAAGTGTGAATCAGTAATAATTGACCTTTGCCTAATTACTGAGGAGAGGCTCCTACCCAACTGCTCTGAGTGGGACTTCCCACAGCTCTAGCTTCTTTGGGTATTCTACTCCTCCACCCATTGGTATGGAGGCTCACCTCTGGTTGGTTGACTTAGAGGTAGCCTCATGGGTCTTGGACCTTGTGGTGACCTAGATATTTCAGAGTTGACTTTTTTGTTTTTGAGACAGGGTCTCATTTTGTTGTCCAGGCTGGAGTACAGTAGTGTGACCAAGGCTCAATGCACCCTTCATCTCTTGGGCTCAAGTGATCCTCTTGCCTCAGCCTCCTGAGTACCTGAGACTACAGGCACGTGCCACCATGCCCAGCTAATTTATTTTATTTTATTTTTTGTATTTTTAGTACAGATAGGGTTTCACCATGTTGTCCAGGCTGGTCTCAAACTCCTGACCTCAAACAGTTCCACCCACCTTGGCCTTCCAAAGTGCTGAGATTACAAGCATGAGCCACTGCACCCAGCCATAATTTTCTTTTCTTTTTAAATATTTTGTGGAGGTGGGATGTCACTGTGTTTCCCAGGCTGGTCTCGAACTTCTGGGCTCAAGCATTCCTTCCACCTTAGCCTTCCGAAGTGCTGGGATTACAGGCATGAGCTACTATGCCTGACTTGGAAGTTGACTTTTTAAAAATAAATATGAATTAACTAAGGAGCCTCTGAGTAACCACAGTAGAACCCTAGGTTTCTGCAGAATTTGAAAAAAAAGTTTTATATTCCATGGTTAAAAAATGATAACCATTTACTTTGCTGAAATTGTAAATCTGTTATAGTTGTACCCCCTTGTCCATGGGGATACATTTCAAGATCCCCAGTGGATCCCTAAAACTGTGGCTACTGCTGAACCCAGTTGCCATCAACTAGAAGATGTTTCTGTTTGTATTTTCTACCTACAAATTTAATCCCTTTTCCATCTTAACTGAGCACTTATCATACACTGTGGCTATAACTTTAGCAGTTTGAGGTGCAACAACAAAACTAACATGAATTTATTTCTTCCTCACAATTTCAGAAGATTTTTGAAGATTCATTCTTAGTACAGATCTTAGCAACCTAGGCATATAATTTCTTTTTCCCTTTAAGTTGAGAACGTTCACCTTTTCACTTAAAGGAAGCCCTTTATAGCTTCTCATTGGCATACCGAAATTGCCAGCATTACTACTCATGCATTGTGGCCATTATTAAGTAAAGAAAGGATTATTTGAATGCAAGCAGAGATACGTCAACAGCCAGTCTGATAACCAAGATGGCTACTACGTGGCTAATGAGCACTTAGTATGCACTAAGTGACTAGTGTATACAGCATGGATATGCTGGACAAAGCAGAAGATTCACATCCTAGATGGAACTGAGTGGGATGGTACACGTTTTCATCACACTAATAAGAACAACATTACAGTTTTAAACTTATGAATTGTTTATTTCTGGAATTTTACATTTGGTGTGTTTGGACCATGATGGACTGTGAGTAATTGCAACTGTGGAAAGTGCAGCTGTGGATGGGGGGACTACTATACTGTTATATTTCAGGCTTTCCCTAAAAAATGCATCCCGTTTTTTTTGAGACAAGGTCTCACTGTGTCGCCAGGCTGGAGTACAGGGGCATGATCATAGCTCGTTGCTTTGATCCTTGGCTTAAGCAATCCTCTTGCTTCAGCCTCCCAAGTACCTGGAACTATAGGCTGGTGTCACCACACTTGGCTGATTTTTTTTTTTTTTTTAAGTGGAGATAAAGTCTTGGCTGTGTTGCCCAGGCTAGTCTTGAACTCCTGGCCTCAAGTGATCCTCCTGCCTTAGTCTCCCAGAGTGCTGGGATTACAGTCGTGAACTACTGCATCTGGCCCCAGTTTCCTTCTTGAAGAATTGCATGGGGTTTCTTAGGCTACTGTTCTACAGGACGTGCGAATCCAAAAGCTTTAAACTTTTATATGCCTATCACAGCAGAGGTCTGTAAGGAACAGTGTAAAGTTCCTTACATGACCTTTTTTTCTGAGACGGAGTCTCACTCTGTCGCTCAGGTGGGACTGCAGTGGCCTGATCTTGGCTCACTGCAAACTCTGCCTTCCAGATTCAAGCGATTCTCCTGCCTCAGCCTCCCAAGTAGCTGGGTTTACAGGCACCCACCACCTCACCTGGCTAATTTTTGTATTCTTAGTAGAGGTGAGGTTTCACCATGTTGGCCAGGCTGGTCTTGAATTCCTGACCTTAGGTGATCTGCCCACCTTGGCCTCCCAAAGTGCTAGGATTACAGGTGTGAGCCACCGCACCCGGCCTATGACCTTTGTGTGTAGAGGAATAGATAATAGATTACAATGTTTGAAGTTAATTTAGATGTTTCAGCTGCCCCTATGGATTTTTTACCTCACTAATATGTTTCAAGTGTTGGAGGGATAATAAAAGTCTCCTGATAGAACCTGATTGATTAGTAACTCCTGTTCTAGCATGTGAGGTGAGTGATACTAGACAGAGGGAAGGGACAGCTAGAGATGAAATTGTATTGCTATGAAATGGAAGAGGCCGGATTTAGCCAGGATGTAAAACTTGGAATTAACCTGTTTATGAGCTATTTCTCAAGAACTGACAAATCTCCCTGTGTTCTCTCTGTGTACTTTGAGTAAAGTAATAAAAAGACACTTTGGCTGACTTAAGCAGAAAAGGGCAAGTTTATAAGTATCCTTATAATACAAGATTATCTTTTGGAACTTGAGGACAGGGATGCTCGTGAGTTATGGGATGATACTAGAACAAGGGTTTGGACATCCTAACAGGATTTTCTTTCATTTCTGTTTCAAGTGAAGCTGTCTGCTTAATGGATGGTCATTGTAAATTAGGAATGCTTGCCAAAAGCAGGACATCAAGTCGTCCTCTGAAAGTGAAAGGAAGCAGTGAGGGTTGAGAAGAGAAGGAGGTATTTGCCTATGAAAACAAAAATAATTTCAGGTCTTACTGGTGTCAAGTGTAATTGTGAGGAAAGAGAACTGAGGATAGTGCCATTAGATTTATCTTGGCAGTGATTTATCCAACAGAATGAAGAGGCATGTTTAAGAGCCACTAGATTGCTGGTTTCCTCTCTGTTTAAATCAGGAGGCTGAGCAAGATTATCTCTAAGTTAAGTATCCGAAGCTGTCTACTTAGACAGCATCAGCATCACCTAGGAGCTGGTTGAAAATGCATTATCTCAGGTAGCACAGACCTACTGAATTGCAATCTGCATTTTCACATAATTTGGAAATAGTTAAATGAATTTGGTACATCCAACAATGGTTTATTAGATAGGTATTAACAAAAAGTTGTATGTGCATATGAATTGCTATACTATATTAAGAAAATGTTAATGATTTCATGATTCCCTTAACAAACCACTTCTACATATAAAAAAAATCTGTTAAGAATATAAATCAAATTGAATTAGATGATTTTATTTTCTTCGTTATTAATATATTATCTGAACTTTTACAGTATGTATGTGTGTTTTAATGCTATTAAGAAAAAAGTGTACACCCTTCTCTCTTTGAAGTCACTTCAGATTTTTTTTTTTTTGAGACAGTCTCACTCTGTCGCCAGGCGCCACGCTGGAGTGCAGTGGCGCGATCTCTGCTCACTGCAACCTCCGTCTCCTGGGATCAAGCAATTCTCCTGCCTCAGCCTCCTGAATAGCTGGGACTACAGGCGCATGCCATCATGCCCAGCGTTTTTTAGTAGAGATGGGGTTTCACCATGTTGGCCAGGATGGTCTCAATTTCTTGACCTTGTAGTCTGCCCACCTCAGCCTCTCAAAGTGCTGGGATTACAGGTGTGAGCCACCGTGCCTGGCGGTCACTTCAGATATAACACCTAGCATAGTCGTCATGAGAATGGACTCTGGAGTCAGCCAGTTTGACTCCCCATTTCCTGGCTTTTTGACATGCTTAGTGATTTGACTTCTGGAAGCCTTTGTTTTCTCATCTGTATAATCCGACATTTTAAGAGTTTTGAGAATTTGTTTTGTTTTGTTTTTGAG